GCTTCCCTGTCCAGCAATGGATGAAGCAGTTCAGAGGCCCAGGGTGGAATGCAAAGGTGAGTGCACACCTCCTCAAAATCCTCTAGCATTCAGTAGAAAGTTAGGTGGAAGCTGGCAGATGTAGGTACTTTGTTCCTCCCCTGCAGACATTTTTTCCTCCCACCTTCCCTTTCCTTCCTTCCTTCTTTATTTCCTTCCTTCCTTCCTTCCTTCCTTCCTTCCTTCCTTCCTTCCTTCCTCCTCATTCTCTCTCTCTCTCTCTCTCTCTCTCTCTCTCTCTCTCTCTCTCTTTCTCTCTCTCTCTCTCTCATGAAAATGATTCCTGGTCATTAACATTTTCAATGATTAGAGATTAGGATTATAATAAATAAAAATAAAGAACATGCTATTTATCAATATCCACTGATCTCATGTTGGGGACCCTCCTTCTGCCTCTCGATGTAGATGATAAGGTTTTCTAACACTTATTGAGTGCCAGGCCCCGTGCAAGGGCTTTAGGTGCATGTCCCCATGTAATCGAGTGTAGCAGTGGGATGCGTCTCCATTGGGAAGATGAGGAAATTGAGGCTCCAAGAGCTGAAATGACTTGTGTAGCGTCATGCAGTTGAACTGAAATTCAAACCCAGGTCTTTCTGACTCTAATGGTGGTCTCTTCACACATTACTTATTTGCCACACTCTAGTTGTGAGGTGTTGGGGAAATGAACTTAATCTCTCCAAGCCTCAATGTTCCTATCTGTAAAATAGGTACTAGTATTTAAGAGCATCTACCTCCAAGGATAGTTGGGAAGAATAAATGCAATAATGTTTGCAGTGTGCTAGGCACATAGACAATTCCAAGAGCTACTATTAACATAAATAATATAAACTCAAATAGTTCCCAGAATGAGCTAAGGTCTTTGTCTGCATTTCTTATATTTAGACCCCAATTCTCCTCTTGGCAATAAAGATCTGTCTGTGCCTTTGAATAAGATCAGGGGTCTGTAAACTTTTTCTGTCTGGGGCCAGATATTTTGGAGGTTGTAAGCCTTACAATCTCTGTCATGACTACTCAATGCTCCAGCTGTATTGCAAAAGCAGCCGTAGATGATACATAAATGAATGGATGTGACTGTGTGCTAATAAAACTTTGTTTACACAAAATGGATGTGGTGGACTGAATTTGACCTGTGGGCTGTAGTTGGCTGAATAAGATAAATCATTTCTATCATTATAGCTCCCAGGAGCCCCAACCATCTTTCTTTGCACTATAGTTCATGGATTATTCAGTGAGCTCAGTAGTCCTGATGGGCCCTGGTTTTTAAATTTGGGGTGAAATGAACATTCCTCATCTAGAAAGTGATGGATACTACAGCCAGGATTTTGTCCACTCTATGTCTGTGACCCCCCAGTACAATGCATCAATAGATATTTGTCAAATGAAGGAACATGTTATTCTTTATGTCATCTCCAGATTTTATCATCCTGTTATTGACACTTAGGTTGTTTCTAAAGTTTTATAACTTCAAGCAAAGCTGAGATGAATATCCTTGTGATCTTATCTTGGCAGACAGTGGAGTTCCAGATTTCTCTTTAGGAGAGGTGCAATTTGCCAGGAGAGAGCTATAGGAGATTTGCCTCGAAGTTTTATTTGCATGAAGGTACATAGCAAGTGTTTGTTTAGGGTGGCTTGATAGAGCAGGGCCACCCCATGGTACCACAATTGCACAATTCAATGGGTGCTTCAATGAGTAAGTTCCTAGAGGTGGTTTTGCAAGGTGTTCTCGCCTGGGTAATAGACAACTGCAAACTTAGTGCCTAAAACAATAACTATCATTTATTTTGTTCATGAATGAATCCACAATTGGGGTTGAGTTTGGTGAGGACAGCTTGTCTCTGTTCTACACAGTGTCAATTGAGTTGGCTCATGTGGGAATTAGCAGACCCACTTTGAAGAGGGCCCACTCACAAGGCTGGCAAGCTGGTGCTGGCTGTTGGCTGGCTGCTCCACCAGGCCTGTGGGCTGGAGGTCTTAGTTCTCCACGCGGGCTGCTTTTTCATGACTGGTTGGGCTTCCTCACAGTATGGCGGCTGAGTTCTAAGAATGAGCATCTCAAGAGAACAATGCATGCTTTTTTTTATAACCTTGAGTGTCACTTCCTCGATAGTCAAAAGCATGCTCAGATTCAAGGGGAGGGAACATAGACCTGCTGCTTGATGAAAGGAGTACCAAATGAAGGGCATAAGGAATGGAAGACTTTATAACCATCTTTGAAAATAGTCTTTTATACAGGATGAGGCAGATTTGTAACTCTGGCTCTTTCTCTGTCTAGATGTAGATGAATGTTCTTCAAGTCCCTCAAAATGTGGTCCTAACTCAGTCTGCAAAAACCTGCCGGGGAGGTACAAGTGCAGCTGCTTGCCTGGTTTCTCTTCTCCCACTGGGGATAACTGGAGCCCGGAAAAGCCCGGTCATTTCTCCTGTACAGGTAATGCTCCTGGGCTTTGCATGGGTCTTTGGTGGCTAGCTACCACTGAGTTGGGCACATGCGTATTTAACCTTAGACAGCCAGTCTTTTGTCTGCTCACTCTCCTCTGCTGCTCCGCAGACGTCGATGAATGCCTCGACAGCGGAGTCTGCCCAGAGCATTCTGAGTGTGCCAACTCTTTGGGAAGCTACAGTTGCCACTGCCAAGATGGATTCATCTTTAACAACTCTCTCTGCGAAGGTATGGAGGACCTGCTCTTCTTCATTTACCTACGTAACGAAGCATCCCTTCATTTGATGATCCTATGAGATAGGGTTGCTGATTCTCATTTCAGACTGAGGAAATGGAGGTTCAGAGAGATGAAGTCACTTGCTCAAGGACACACAGCCATTAAAGTGGAAGAACTGGGATTTGAACTCCTGTTGAGATCTTACGATGAATTAAGCAGTGGGGTCAGGAAGTACTTGAGAGTATGGGAGGCTCTCAAGTGCTCTTTCTCCCAGGGGACATTGGCCATGTCTGAAGACATTTTTTATGGCCACAACTGGTGGTGATGGTGGGGTTGTGTGTGTTGTTGTCATCTAGAGGGTAAGGCACATTACAAAGCACAGGACAGCTTCCCACAATCAAAAATCATCTGATGGTGGGCAACGGTGCACTGGCCACCATAATGAGAAATTAACTTCAGGCTGAAGAACGAAGCAGGCAACTCCATAGAATATGACAGAATTTATTACAGGTTACTTACTTAGGGGAAGATTAGATCAGAACAGACAGTCTGCACAGATTATTCCCCACTTCCAGACCCCTGTTACAGTGCTTTTGTATAGTATAACTCAGGCACTAATGATAGACAAGAGAAAGGGACAATGAATGCAGTACAGCAATGCCAGGGGCCATACCTCCTTGTGGTCTTGTGACAGATGGCCAGTTTGATATTTGTCTTGGTTGTTATGGCATTCTGGCCATTACTAACAAAAATATTTGTGGCTAGAGTTTAAGGAATATAGATATTCATCAACTAGAAGGCTTTGATCTGCTTGCTAAGGACAGTGAGGTTAATCACAGCATGAAACTTAAAATGAAATGAGATCTGGACTCAAAAATAGAGTTGGTTTTGTTCACACCTACCTCCCTACAGAAATGATCCCGTCCCAAATGTCAGTAGTGCTAAGGTAGAGACACTCTGTTGTAGGGAGACCTAAACCTCGGAACTTTCTCCTAAAAGGTGTTTCAATTAAGACCTGAGAGTTTCCCTTGATCCTCTGTCTCCTTCCATATTGAATCAGTCATCATGTCTTGGGTGACTGACCTGGTAAGTGGTCTGGAATCTCTCCATTCTTCCCTATCTTTGGTCCAAACACCATATGGTTTACAGCAGTCTCGGTCTTGCTCTTTGATTCCGTCCCCCACATTGCAGTCAGAATATTCTCACCAAGAGGCAGGGAGTCTGAATTCTCCATGTTCATTTGGAGAGAGTGACTGCATGACATGCTCAAACCTCATTATATTCTCTTGCCTTGGAGCCAGAGGTATTTGAAGTCAGTCCATTCGTAGCAGTTAGCTATTGCTGACTAACAGATGACCCTGAAAGTCAGTGGCTAAAAACCACCGCCATTTATTTAACTCTCAGTTCCATGTCTTGGCAGTTGAGGTTGGGCTTTCTTGGCCAGTTCTTTGGGTTTCAACTGGAGTTTTTCATGGGTCTGCGGTCAGCTGGGGGTCAGTTTTGCTGATCTTGGCTGGGCTGTCCACATATCTGGGGTCATCCATCTCTCTTCCACTTTGTCTTTTATTCTTCGTTAGGCCAGCCTAGGGTTTGTTCATATGGCAGAAACCCCAAGAATGAGCAGAAACAAACAACCCTCTATAGCAGTGGTTCTCAACCTTCTGGCCTTTTAAATACAGTTCCTCATGTTGTGACCCAACCATAAAATTATTTTCGTTGCTATTTCATAACTGTAATGTTGCTACTGTTATGAATCATAATGTAAATATCTGATATGCAGGATAGTCTTAGGCGACCCCTGTGAAAGGGTCATTCGAACCCCAAAGGGGTCGCGGCCCACAGGTTGAGAACCACTGCTCTAGAGGTATAAGTTTGGAACTGGCACCACATCGCTTTCGCTGCATTCTATTGGCCAATGCAAGTCACTGGGCCAGCTAGATCCAGGGGTGGGGGAACAACTCCACATCTTACAGAGAGGAGTGGCAGAGCCCACATCCCAGGGTGTAGGTACAGGGAGCAGTGAAAGACCATGAACACCTCTGTAATCTATGATCGTTATGTTTGAAACTATTTGCCACCCTTTTGTTTACACACTGTTGGCCAACATTTATTCTCCCCAGGCGCATCTCACTGCCCTGGAGGTGAGGCAGAAGGGGGAACATGGGTATTGGGGAGCAGCAGCACTGTGTGCCACCTGTTAGCAACATGTAGAGGGGGTCTCCTGCTTGCAATCTCCTGTCCTCAATTCCTCACCTGCCTTGATCTGGGTTTTCATTTCCACTCATTAGATGTGGATGAATGTGCCGATCCCAGAGCTTGCCCGGAGCATGCGACCTGCCACAACAGTTTTGGAAGCTACTCTTGTGTCTGCAACTCAGGATTTGAATCCAGCAGTGGAAACAGGAGTTTCCATGGCCCAGGAGGGATGTGTGAAGGTAGGTGGAGGGGTCTTTTGGTGATCCAGGTCCAAGCCTGTTTGCAATTCAGCAGTGGTGGGGCAGGAATCAGGGTGGATCTCAGCTGAGTTCAAAGCCCTCATCTACAAAGGGGAAGCCAATCATCATTCATTTTTTCTTTCATTCACTCATGCACTCATTCAACAAATACTTCTGGAGCACCTACTTTATGTGAGGCACTATTCTAGGGATGGTAGATACAATGGTGAAAAACACCAGCAAAAATATTTATTTTCCTGTAACTTATTATCTCATGTGGAGGGAAACAGGTAACAAAAATAAATGCACGCATGTATTGTGTGTCTGGAATAGTTAAAGGAGATGAAGACAAATAAGGCAGGGAAGGCAGCTAGTGCTGGAGAAGACTTCTAATTTTATTAGAGCAAAGGCCACAATTAGAAGTGGGTATTTGAGAAAGATCTGAAGACACCGAGGGAGTGAGATATTGGGTATCCGGGGAAGGGTGTTCCAGGAGGAGGGAACAGCAGGTACAAAGGCCTGGAGGCAGGCTCTCAGCCAAGGCCCTAAGTTCTTCCATATGTGACCTCCTTCGGTCTTCCCAAGTGATATTTTATACTCATTTTTGAGATGAGGAAACAGAGCCTCCATTGTGGTGGAGTCACTCTTCCCATGTCAAATAGGCAGGAGTTAGGAGGGTCAGCACCTGAACTGTGCCTAGGTTCACATCCAAGATGTCCTGCCCTCCAGTCCTCCACTCTGATACATCTTAGTTGTTGTTATTATTATTAATAATATAATGATTCCTTGGAGTGGGGCTGGCATTCACCAGGGAAAGAAGCAGTGGATGAGTTTGAGTTCTGAGGGAACACAGGTGAGAGAGAAGAGTCTTCATGAACCTGCAGGTCATCAACGAATCTGGATCCCTCGTTATACAGGGAGTAGAAGCAGAAGATGAGGGAGGTGAGCTTAGCCAGGAGCAGGTTCTCAGGGTCTCGTTGGTTCTAAGGAGGAGTTTGGGTTTTACCCTGAGCCATGGGAGCCTCTGGTTGTGTGGGTCATAGACATGCATTTGAATGCTTCCCTCCATAGCAATGAAAACGTGTGTAAGAAGGTGAGACAGGGCCAGGGAAACCCTTTGGCTCTGTCCCTGGTTGGGCTGTTTACTGCTGTTATAGCCTCAGCTTCCTTCATCTTTATGACTTAGACCAATTTTCTGCTTAGATGTGGATGAATGTTCCAGAAACTCGACTCTTTGTGGTCCCAATACTGTCTGCACCAACATCCCAGGAGAGTACAGTTGCTCCTGCCTGCCTGGGTTCATTTCGCCTGAGTTTTGGACCCCCAAGCAACCAGAGGCTTTCAAATGTACAGGTAATTCTCCCAGCCGTGAGGTGGACTTCTCAACAGTTGTCAAATGACCCTGAAACACAATGGCATATAGCAACAACCCTTTGTTCTTGCTCGTGATGTTACAGGTTGGCCACATGGGTTTTCTGGGGTACCAGGATGGCTGGCAGATCTGAAATGGCCTCATTTGTGTGACTGGTAGTTGGTGCTGGTCTCTGGCTGGGAGCTTAGTTGGGCCCCTAATTTTCATCGTGGGCCTTTCCACATGGCTGCTTAGGCTTCCTCATGGCATGGCAGCTGGTCTCCAAGAAGGAACGTTCAAAGGGGCAGAAAGCAGAAATGCCAGTTCTCATAAGGCCTGAGTTCGGCAGTTTTCTAGCACTTTCTATTGGCCACAGTTGGGGCCAGCCTAGGTTCAGAGGAAAGAGAAATTAACACCCATCCCTCTGGGGGAACATTGGGAGGGAATACTTCCACTGCATACAGGAAGTGAAAGGGTTAATGGAGGCCATCCTCAGTGTATCGGCTACACTGCAGAACACATTTTATATTCCTCAACCCCCAGGGAAATCATGCTTCTTTTAATTAGTCTATTTCTTCTTATTGATCTGCACTAGATGCTGACATTGTTAGAAGCAGAACAGTAGAGCAATAAAATCGAAAGGGACCTTAGAGAGGGTAATACAGCTCTAATGGCTCCTGGGAGCCTATTCAGAACCCCGATCAAGGGCAAGAAAGCCAAACCATGGCCTTCCACCCCATTTTTCGTCACACTATCACCTCTTTCATTTGTCTTACCTACTCAGGTTTCACTTCACAGGAACAAAGGTTCTCTTGGCCCCAAAGTTTTGAAATTCATGCATGAGTCCAGCTCCATATGCAAAACATAAATTCCCTCGCTGCTATTTCTGACAAGAGCTTGCCTAGTCAAGGCTTCAATGTGTCTGGAAATGGGAAGCTCACTCTTTGGTTAGAGATGTTTTCTGTAACACCAAGAGGAAAGCCACTTCCCCATGCTTTCCAGCTGTGGGCCACTTCTATGCCTTTGATGACTCCAAATTAGTCTACGTTCGTATCATAAGGACATCTTGTCCCAGTTCTCCATGGTCATGTCCAGTGCAGTGTGCCACATACCTGCTTAAGTGACTAGTGGATGCTGCTTGTTTACTCTTTTTTTGTTTTCGTTTTGTTGTTGTTAATCCTCACCTGGGATATTTTTCCATTGAATTTTAGAGAGAGTGGAAGGGAGGGGGAAAGAGAGAGAGAAAAACATCTATGTGAGTGAGACACATCAATTGGTTGCCTCCCACACACATCCAGACTGGGTCCAGGGATTGAGCCTGCAACTGAGGTACATGCCTTTGACTGGAATAGAAACTTTGACCCTTCAGTCAATCATGGAGACAAATCAGTTAGGGCAATTCTTCATGTTTTGTGATGACTCCTAATTCTTTTCTCTAGGGCATTCAATTCCATATATCCTCTGTGGCTCAGTGGTTCAGAAACCCTCAGAGGGAGAGTAACCCTGTGTTGCCATGGTGACCTGACACCACTCTGTATTTGTTAGGATAGAGTTTCTCAACTTTTGCACTATTGACTTTTGGGGCTCAATAGTTCTTTGTGTGGGGGGCTGTCCTGTACATGGTAGGATGTTTGGCTTCTACCTACTAGATCCCAGTAGCACCCCCTCCCCCAGTCTTGACAATAAAACATGTCTCCAGACATTGCCCAGTATTCCCTGGGGAGGCAAATTGCCCCCAGCTGAGAACCACTAGCTTAACACAGAAATTTTTTATGCTCATAACAATCCAATATGGATATACTGGGCCAATGGGCAGCCTTCCTCCACAAGGTGATAATAGGGGTCCAACCTCCTGGCATCTCTTGGTTTTTCTATCCCTTAGGACCTTGGAATCCCTGGTCCCAGCCAGTGGTGGGGCAAGAGAGAGAGGGCACACCCACTTCTTGGTCATATTGGCCCAGAAGTGACAAATGTCATATCTTTTCACATTCCACGAGTGAAGACTGGTCACGCTGATTCCCAACCCAGGTTCGGCTGCCTACCACTGGAAAGCCAGTAATGAAGAGACAAGGGTTGGTGAAAGGAAAGTAGTTTATTCAAGAGCTGGCAGCCCAAGAAGATGGTGCACTTAGGTTGCAAAGACCATCTTAACAATTCGACACAGGCAGTGGTTTTTGTAAGGAGAGAGGAGGAATTACAAAAACAAAACAAACAAACAAAAAACCAGAACAGAACAAAGAAATCGGAAGTAGGGGGTTCAGAGTTCTCCATTGAAGGGACTACGTGCAAGTCAGCACAGTCTGTACAGATAACTGATCGAAGGTCAGCAAATCTCCCAGAGCCGGAAGATCTGGAGGTTGGGGTTTGCTTCTTTTGAAGTTAGTTCCTAGAATTCTTAAGCAAACAGGCTGTTTATCTGAAATTATATGTTAGTTGACAGGTCATCTTTTACAGAAACAATGTTAAAAGAATGTTGGGGTGGGTTACTACATGGTCCCGCCCAGATGCCAAGGATTCTGGGAAGTGTAGTCCCTGTTTGGGCTGCCATTATTTAAATGACAACTCATGTTTCAGAATGGGAAGCATGACTTTTGTTGGATTGTTGGCCAACTCTGCTTCACGCCCTTTCTCCACTACACAGATATTGATGAGTGCCTGGATATGTGCCCTTTCAATGCAACATGCACCAATACCCTTGGGAACTACTTTTGTACCTGTCACCCTGGCTTTGCACCAAGCAATGGACGGCTGAACTTCACAGAGCAAGAGGTGGAATGTGGAGGTAAATGGAGGGTTGTGTGGACATCCCTGGACAAAAATTAATCTCCTTATTCCTTTGGTTGTTTGATATTCTCGAGTTCTTTGCAGATATTGATGAGTGTGTGCAAGATCCATCACCATGTGGCCCCAATTCTGTCTGCACAAATGCCCTGGGCTCCTACAGCTGTGGCTGCATTGTGGGCTTTCGCCCCAATCCGGAGGGCTCCTGGAAATATGGCAACTTCAGCTGCAAACGTAATCATCTCCTTGTGTGTCTTGGCAATGGAATCTGTGTCTTGCTCACTCTGCCCAACCTCTGGATCCTTTTCTTACTTTCACCTCATCCACATGTTCTCTCTTTATTCATTCATTCATTTACTACACATTCATTAATTCCCTCATTCAATACATTCTTTTCGGAACATCTATTAATTAGTTAATGAATCAATCTGACCCATACACTGAGAATTCAATCCTGGACATGGTGGACATGATACTTGCCCTCACGTAGCTTATAGTCTAGGGAAAAAAGCAGAGAGCACATAAATAATTATTTAATGACCACGATGAATATGACCATTGGAAAATTTTAGAACACTTTGGAGTGACTAATGGGATATTTAATATGCTTGGGGAAAATAGCATTTCAGCTGAAGCTTGAAGGAAAAGTAGGAATTATCCATATGAAGTGTGAAGATCACACTCAAAGGCCCTGAGGCTAACACAGAGAAATGATATTAGCTGCATCTGAGAAGGTGGGCAGAGGTCAGATACTGCAGGATCTTGTGAGCTGTGCAAACAATTTTGCAGTCTTCTTTGCCAAGAACAACGGGAAACCAGAAGAGGTTTAAAAATGTTAAATGCTGGATTCTTTGGGATGTTAGAAATATAAGTAACTTACATGGAAGCAATGAAGTACAGTAATAAAATGACTCTATCAGAGGCCATTGTCAACATAAGTAGAATATCATTGATGTCCTTGCTTCTTCCCCATTCCACATCCCTGTCTCTGCCCCAGAGGGAATCCCTTTGAACTTGTGTTCATAATTACCCTACTTAAATAAAGATTTCTTCCCTTGTATATATTCCTAAACAATGCCTTGCTTAGATTTGTTGGTTTTGGAGCTTTATAAAACATCTCAGAGTCTCTGATATGGTGGTGTATAGTTTGCTTGTTTCCTCTGTTGTATAATATGGCAGTGGATGGACTTTCAGCAGGGCATGACGTAATCAGACTTGCTTCAGTCATATCTTGCTGTGGGTAAGTCTGATTTGGTTGCTTTTGTTTCATTCCTAGGAGTTCCCTTCAAGTGTAAAGAAGATGTGATCCCCAACAATAAACAGGTCCTGCTATGCCAAGTGGGAACAGCAGTGGAGCCTGAGGATGTAAGTATTTTTGAAGGTGTTTTTTATTTTTGTTTGTTTTTTTAAGATTTTTTAATTGATTCTTAGAAGAGAGGAAGGGAGAGGGAGAGAGAGACAAGCATGAAAATGAAGTGTAACACCGATCAGCTGCCTCCTGCACACCCACTGGGCATCGAGCCCACAACCTGGGCATGTGCCTTGACCGAGAATCAAACTGGCAACCTTTTGGTGCATGGGATGAAGTCCAACCAACCGAGTTTTCCTGGGAGTCAATTAAGTAGGATATTGTTTGCACCTTTAACAAAGGTAAAAATAGCTGTGCCCCCAAACAGACAGCAGTTTGTTTCTTTCTTTATAACAGTCTGAGTGTAAGCTGCTGAGAGCTGATATGGCTCCATAATGCTCTGCCATCATTAATACAAGACTCCCTCACTGTGGTCCAAGATGGCTGCTGCCATCACATCTGCATTCCAGCTGGTGGGCAGGGGAGAACGGAAAGTGAAAGGCACTATCTTTTCCTTTAAGACTATGATGCAGTATCACCTCTGCTTGTACCTCATTGGCCAGACATTAGTCACTTGGCCACAGAGCCAAAAGGAAAGTCTAGGAGGGAGGGCACTTGCTTGTTTAAAACTTGGGGATTCTTTTACTAAAAGAAGAAAAGGTGTTGCGGGGACTCACGACCAGTAAAGGTGTTGGGGCTGCATGTGTGTGACAGAAGATGGGTGTGACACAGTCCCCAGGCCAGCTAAAGAGGAGTGTGGACGTCCTGGCTCTCTAATGAAGTCATTGTCATTGTAGTGGGTCAAGCCTTCATAAGCATTTTCAGGGATTGAGGTCACTACCTTAAATCCGAGCTTGGACATTAACTTAGGATTCCCATGCACTTTGGACCACTGTTTTTTGTTTGTTTGTTTGTTTAATTGTGGTAAAAACACACATAAGATTCAACATTTAAACCATTTTAAAGTGTACAATTGTTAGGCAAAATGATTCCCGGTACTTAATATGACAGTTGCTATCTAATGAAGCAAGCTGACCACCAATTCATCCTGGAATGTTCTTGCATAGAGAAGAGGGCCCATGAAGCTGTTTTCTGCTATGGATTAAATGGCCTTAACCAGCACAAACCACTGGCTAGGAGCCACTGTTGTTCTTGGAGGCTGATGTATCAAACTCCATCCCTTCTCTGTGCTGAGATCAGCCAGCTTGCTGCCGCCCACAGGTGCTGCTTCTGTCCATAGTTCCCCTGGTAAACTCCTGACGTCATGCTGGAGTTGTCAGCCTCTTGGACAACTTTCTCAAGAAATTTTCCCAAGAAATGGCGAGCCAGCCAGGAGACCGGGGCCATGGGAAAGGGGAAAGCAGCTTCCTGGGGGCCATCCCGGGTTGGCCCTTGGCCTCTGTGTGAGGAGGGGTAGCCCCGTGCTGGGAGCTTGTGGCCACCTTGTGAGTACGGGGACCCCTGCAGACACTGGCTGGGCTGGAGCTGTGGCTTGCTGAGCGTTATCTGGCCCCTTGTGTAAGGATAGCCCTTACCACAATGGGCCAGAAAATGCTTTAATAATCAGAGAATACTCACTAGTTGAACTGCTAGATATTGTGGCTAAATTTCAACAAAAGTCACGAGAAAGCCTTTCAACTTAGATGGTGAGGTTTTAGGTCACGGGCTGATGGACTCTCTCTCTCTCCTGGACTGAAGGAGAAAAAATGAGTAGATATCACCAGTCCCCCGACACTAAGGCATATTCTGCAGGTGCAGGCCCAGGGAGATCATTCTTTAATGGGTTGGATACCAGTGGGATGCGGGGGCCCCAGCCAAGTGAAGGAGACTTACCGGGACAAGCCAGTCCTTGGAAGTCCACTGAGGAACCTCAAGATTTGTTGCAGGAAGTAAGAATGAGCCAGGCTCTCGGTGGCCAGGTGTTCGAGGGGCCCACAGAGCTGTATTCACTGCCAGTAGGAACAATCATCCTTTGCAGGCAGCCCCCAAAGGATGGTCCTTGATTTTCCCTTTTAAGTCTGGTAATTAGGCAAGGTAACCGATGTGGGGAATTCATGGCAGAGTTCGTTGAAACTGAACAGGGCCGAGATCAAGTCTGCCCTGTAACTCGAAAGGAGACTCAAGGGCGTCTGCACCCCAAAGAGTAAATCTAAGTATAAGGGGCTCATCTGTGTCCCAGGTAAACAGAGGTGTCATGATTTAGTAACAAGGGAACAAGACAGACGGCCTGATGCAGTTCTGGTGAAACCAGGGAAAAGGCTACGCCAAAACCAGCAGTTCCTGCCTCTCCCGTTATCCCTTCCTCCGCCCTAATCTCAGCCTTAACACTAACCTACTTTCTATCTCCATCGATGTGCCTGTGCTGGACATGTCACATACATGGAATCACACACTGTGTGGCCTTTTGGGTCTGGCTTCTCTCTCTGAGCATCATGTGTTCAAGGTCCATCCATGTTGTAGCGAGTGTCAGAGCTTCACCCCTTTTTATGGCTGAGTAATACTCCATTTAGCCACTGATTTTTTTTCACACATCTCCCCATCTTTTCACCCCACTATGTAGTTCTGCTTTTATGTGTGTCTGATGTTTTATTCATGGAAGAGAAAAGTGCTGTGGCTCCAGTTCGGATCATATGGTGAGTTTGTATTTCCTAGAGACTCAGGGACCGAGGGCCACCCCATGCAGTGGACATGGTGGCCCAGTCTGTACCTTGAATGCGTGGGGGAGGGACAGATCAGTGCTCACAAATGCTCTTCCCTCTGGCACAGGTTTCGTTTTGTGCACTCATGAATGCCACCTTCAGCGTTCTGGATGAGACCTGTGCAAATAAAACCACGGCCGTTTCTCTGAAGGTAATGACGCCTTTGTCATTGTGTTTCATGGTTTGAATCTCTCAGGGGTGCAGAAAGTCCTCTTTATAATTGAGCTGTGAGTTCACATTTAATTTATGAAAGTTGTGAGGTTAGAAAAGTTAACATAGAGTGAAAAACAGAACAAAGTAATAAAAGTTAACATACAGCAGAATTGCCCTTTTCTGGACAATTTTACATGTTTGATCATTACCTGAGTAGATGAGTGTAGCTACCACTACAATCAGAACACAGAACACTTCTAATTCCTCACCCCATACCCCTACTCCCACCCCCAGGCTTCCTTGGGCTTCCCCTTTACAGACGCATACTCTGTCCACCACTGGGCTCGAAAAATCCCTGATCTGTTCTGTCATTATAGTTTTATCTTTTTAAAACATCATGTAAATGGGGTCATGCATATGCAGCCCTTTGAGTCTGGCTTTTTTCACTTAGCACAGTGCCTTTGAGAGTTGTTAATGTTGTGTTTATCAATAGCTCCATGCCCTTTTGCGGGGAACTATTAGTGACATTTAGCACATTCACATGGTTGAGCAAACATCACCACTATAGTTCTACTATAGTTCTAGAACATCCTTACCATCCAAAAGGAAACTGCATAAGCATCTCTCCTCATTCCACCCTGCCCCCTGACCCCAGCAACCACTCATGTACTTCCTGTCCCTGTGGATGTGCCTGCTCTGGACATGTCACATAAATGGAAACACACACTGTGTGGCCTTTTGTGTCGGGCTCTCTCACTGAGCATCCTGTGTTCAAGGTCCAGCCATGCTGCAGTGAGTGTCAGTGCCTCACTCCTTTTCATGGCTGAGTAATATTCCCCTGTGTGGCTGGGCCATAGCTTATTTATCCACTCATCTATTTTTTTTAAATAGGGTATTGGGTTACTCTTTAAAATTTATTTTATTTTTGTTAATTCTCATTCGAGGATACTTTCCCATTGATTTTTAGAGAGAATGAAAGAGAGGGGGAGAGACAGAGAGAAAGAAACATCGATGTGAGAGAGAAACATACATGTGTGGGAGACTCATCAATTGGTTGCTTCCCACTTGCCCCAACTGGTCCGGGGATCAAGCCTGTAATCGAGGTATGTGCCCTTGACTGGAATTGAACCTGGGACCCTTTAGTCCACCAGCCAATGCTCTAACCACTGAACAAAACAGGCTAGGGCTAGAAAACACTCTCTTGATGAGAGAGGGAAGTTGCTATTTCATGGATGAGAGAGACAGAGAGAGAAGAGTCACACAGAAAAACAGAGAGACTGAGAGACAGACAGACTGAGAGACAGACAGAGAGAGGAGAGAGGACAAGAAAAAGCAAGCAAACACCCCTTTCCTTGCAGAGTACGGCTGAGAGCTTTGCCTCTGTGCTCGAACAAACATCCACGTGGTCCAACTTCACCAAAGACGAGACATCCACGCTGGCCACCGTCTTACTGGAGAGTGTGGAAAGCACCGCTTTGGCAGCTTTTCTGAAACCCTCAACGAACGGCAGTCAGACTATTTGGACGGAGCACTTGGGTAGGACATATCCTTCATGGCAAGGTCACACCTGGTGCTGGTTTTGAGGAGGGACTTCGGCGATGTGATTCTCCATATACCATGTTCCCAACTGTCTCAAACCTGTGAACGCATAGCAAAGCAACGCTAATCATAGTATCAACACTTCTCATGGACTGAGTGCTGGGCACTGTGTGTGTGTTGCCAGGCACTGCGTTTGGAGTGTGTCATTAATTCACTCAATAAGCACTTGCGAAGTGCCTGCTCTGTGCTAGGTGTTAAGGGAGGATAGTCACTTGCTGTGTTCAAATGGGTGGGACGGTCCTTCCTGGCTTGGACTTAGGTGGGATTTTGTGACTAGTCCTGATCAATGGATTGTGAATAGAATAATTGCCAGTGTGAGACCTTCCAGAGCTTTCTTTCCCTCTGCCCTACCGATAGGTCATGTTTCAGATCACAGTTTGTCCATCTGTGCAGGTCTCAGTGTAAGGACAAAACAGAGCACTGTCCCAAGTCAATGCACTGATGGGAAATTATTGTTATTTTTAATCCACTAAGATTTGGGATTGTTTGTTACTGAGGCCTAACTGATCCTCTCCTGACTGATACACCCTGAACATATGTGATCTGTGACCACTTGGGAATCCTGAGTGCTGTAGACCTTTTACAGCAGTATCCTACTCATGGTACTCGTCTAGGATCAGTCACACAACCTTAGGACTTTCTATCCTGATAG